ATCACTCTCTCACTCTTGCATTTCTTGAGGTCCTCTCCCATCTCTCTAGACACACATATAGCGCGCGCGCTCTCTCTCTCTCTCTCACTCTCTAATATGCATGTACGTATTTATAGCTGGCCTGGTGCTTTATATACATGTATTGGTGTGTATAATGTGAGCTCTGTAGGGTTTGATTCAAACGCAACCGGCGAGGTTGAAGCCTCCTCTCTGACTTAATTAACTCTAAATGCGTTACAATTCAATATTATTTTAGATATTTTATTATTCATTTTCCTTTTATATGACCAAAATAAAAAAATATAAAAAATTGTAGAACGTACCTCATCGAAGAAACTTTGTCAAATATTGGTAGATAGTACTAGACGAGACTGGACAAGACTTCGAACAAGATTTTAGTTTCTTCGACTCTGTCTAATATTGTATACTAAATATGCACTTTGTCATTATGTATATATTTATGAAAATAATGAAAATCATTCTTTAAAAGAAAAAATCACCAAAACTATAGGAATTTGATTTTCATGGAATTGGTCAAAAATATGCTTTAAATGTTTGAAACTTGGAATTCGAACTCCATTTCCACTTTAATATTAAACAGCCAAAGTAGAAAAACGAATTCCTAAGATGTGAGATTTTCCATGAAATTCGTTGCAATCAAACGAACCCTAAATTACGAACACAGAGAAGAAAAAAGTTGGGTTCAATTCTTTGGCATGTTAATGATGGTAATAAATTTTATTAATGAACGAGCATATTCAAAGTTTAAACGAATTAATGAAAATTAATATTCTTTTAATAAATAAAAAGAAAGATTCTATACTTATAGAATTGCATATAACTATAAGAAGAAATTCACATTAATTGTTATGATGAAACTAAAATTAGGGGATCCTCCATACATCACGGAGAATATTTTTGGAATTATTTAAATATATTCAGTATATATAATTTTCCCTAAAGGAGAAATTTAGACTTAAAATAACGAAAATCATTCTTTAAATAAAACGATTATCTTCCATTAAATCAAAACTATTTTTTTTCTCAAAATCATTTTCAACTGCAAAATCACACAATATGGTCCATCCGTTGATATTGTTATAGCTAAACGTTAATGCTGGATTTGCCCCTGATTATATTGTCGAGATTCACTTCTCGAGTTTCAATCAACTCATCTAGATCAATTTCACGTAGCTCAATAACGATATTTGACACTAAACTACATTATCTACACGTCTACTCTAATAGACAAAGCACATTATTTTATTTTTTGTACATTTTTTATTCTTTTTTTTGTTTTTGTTTTTGGCATTGCTATCCTTCAAATTATTGACTACAATGACCGTAATTATACAATTGTAAGTAAAAATTCGCTCATTTCATCAATATTAACTAGTTTTAGGACTCAATAAGCGCGTCGAAACACACTTATCAAGTATGTCTAGGGGTGGCAATCGAGCCAAGCGGCTTGTTGGCTCCTGAAAAGACAACTTGAGAGTAGCTCGGGCTTGTATTTGGACAAGCCCAAGCATGAGCAGAGTGGGCCTGCTCGCTAGTTTAGCTCGCCGACCATCCTAATTTTCACGAGTGCTCACGGGCTCGTAAAAAAGGGGGAACAAAAGAGTAAAAAAAAAATTTGAGCTCATGGGCCGAGTTGAGCTTGGCCCTTGAGCACGAGCCGAGCATATGGGTGAATGGGTGGCTCAGCCCATTTCCATCTCTAAGTATTTCGTAATTTTAGTTTTTATAATTAGCTTAACTTACTTTTCCACAAAATGGATAACAATTTTAAGCATAGCCAAACGTGTAACTAGTTAAAGGAGTAAATAATCCATGCAAGATACAACCAACATAACTCTCATTTAAAAAAGGGAAAATTGCAGCAGCGGCCCCTAACCTTCTCATTTTTGCAGATTTTATCCTAACATTCATTTTGTATCAGGAGAGGTTCCTAACCTTTCACAAATATGCACCTGAGGTTCATCTGAAAAAATTAAGCAATCAACATCTAATAAAACAGTCCAAAAAGGTATCAACATACACTAAAATCGTCACGATAGCAGATAGTTCAAGAAATTTTTTCGATCAACTGACGGTCTTTTGTACGGTTTCCATCCAGATGGGCTTCAAGTACATATTCATGAAAGGTTAGAAACATTCGCTGGTACAAAATAAAAAGTTAGGGTAAAATCTGTAAAGATGAAAAGGTTAGGGTCCGCTGCTGCAATTTTCCTTTAAAAAAATTGGGTTTTATTAATATCAATTTTCTATTTAATAATTTTAACTAAGAAAATTGCTTTTAGTATATGAAGGAATTTATAATTTTTCCAAAGTATTGTTTACCATATGTGGAATATAGAATCCTATAAAAATATATAGTTTAACAAAAATGTAAAATCCCCAATACTTATACTCGTGCTTCAGTTTTGAATTAAAATGAACTTATAATATTTAAGTTTACAAAATAGACTACCTTTTTACCTTAAATTGAATTAATTGAAAACAAGTTTTATATAAAACTCGAAGCTGCTATCAAGTTATAATTGCACTCGATAAATCCAATTTCATCTTCTTTTTACTGGAAAACATCATAATTTTCAATTAAAATCTATATCAGTAAATATATTTTCTATGCTTATGATTCTAAATGTTGACCGTTTATAGATAAAATATTCCTAAGGCGAATGCAGCGGAAACAATGATATCTCAAACACATATGTTATAACACTAAATTAAGAAACTAACGAAGTGATTACAACATGTTTATTGTGAATTTAAAAAGTTCAAATTGAATGTTATAGTTGATGAGTATCTTGTTGTTTCAAATGTTTATTAAATTAAGCAATAAATCCTATATATGTATCTAATTTGAAATTCATTAAAAAGAAGAACTTAATGGCCATTAGAACTTATTATTTATCTAGTCGTGCAAGGAATACAAGACATAGATAAGTACCTAGATAATTGTCTAAATGTATTGTCCTCTTAGCTATCTCAAAATCCCATAAATTAATAAAATTTGTGATGAATATCTAGATAGTTGTTTAAATGTGTTATCGTTTTAGCTTTTTCCAGACCTCACATAATAAAACAATAAAGTTTGTGATTAAGTATCTAGATATTTAAATGTCCTGTTTTCTTAGCTATCTCCAGACCTCACGTAATAAAACAAGAAATTTTGTAATTAGTACCTACATAGTTATCTAAATATACCGTCCTCTTAGTTGTCTCAATACCCAACATAATAAAAGAACAAATTTTATGTAATTATTATCATACTTACTTTTCTCTATATTCATATATATATTTTTATAGTATTTGTAATTTATAAAGATGGAAAAACTTAGCAAAATGTGAACAAGCACATGTAAATCAATGAGTAGTTTTTTTGACACCCAAAATGCATGACAATGTGTATTTCTATTTGATTTTTCCACTGCCTAAAATTAACCACATTTGGTTAGATAGCCTTATGGACCATATTCATGAGGTCTGAACCACACCGTGTAGTGGACGGTTGTGCCAACTTTTTCTCTTGAGCAGAACTGCCTTAGGCTAAGCTTGAAAATTTTACAATAGTTATGTTGTGAACATTCAGTTTAAATCAACTCGTTTAGATCAATTCCATGTAATCTGGGCAAATCTAGAGCTGAGGTCCAACCCACCAACTCCACTCCCCCCTCAAACATAAAAAATAAAATAAAAATGCCATCGATTTTATCAAGCTAGTTTGTAGGTCAATTTCGAAATTCCCAAATATTAGAAAAGGTTCTTGACATATTTCCTGAGTGGTCACGGTATATTTCGTAACTCACATTTCAATTAGTAAAATTGTTAAATGATTAGGTCGCAATAGTGAGTTAAAAATGGTCGCATGAAATAAGTTTAATAAATCTAATTCGTGATCGTTGCCTTTTTTAGCTTATTTTTGGACTACATTTCTCTAATGTAAGGGTAGATTCTCGGAGAACTTGCGAACAACTATACGACCCATATTTCAAAATGGAAAACTGTTAAACGGTGGACTTAAAATAGCTAGAAAAACATGTCTACGTATAATGGATTTAATAATTTCTTTAAGCTAACGTATTGTATTAATTATTAAAATTTAAGGATAGGGCTTAGTGTGTTCCCATTTTAGTCTTTTCGTTTAATCTGTACTGTCAAAGTTGTCTGTAAAAAATTTGCAAGACCCTTGTTGATTAATCGTGATCTAGTTACAAACCACATTATTTACATGTGTAAGTTATTAATTAGACCAAACAGAACTATTATATGTACAATCAATTCACTTGGCTCATGTTATCTAATACTAAAACACATTATCTACACGTATAAGTTTTTAGAAAAAAGAGAATCATTATATGTTCAAGACGCCATAAACATGCGGATCATATTTATTTTCTTTATCCAAAAATCTTACACGTGGTTATATCATAAATGGGTCACACGAGTCGAAATTCAACTCGTCATATACCCATATGAAATACTTATTTTTAACTTGTTCTTCGATATGAAACATTTGGGGGTGTGACACTAATTATGCCGTTGAGATTCACTTCTCGAGTTTCAATCAACTCATCTAGATCAATTTCACGTAGCTCCATAACGATATTTGACACTAAACTACAATACCTACACGTCTATAATAGACAAAGCACATTACTTTATGTTCAATATGTCATGCACATGTGATCATATTTATTTTTTATAAACCTTACAGATCGATTTTCCATAATTCGGTAAAACTAACTCACCATCTCTCCATCCTATGATGCCTTTGTTAAACCACGGGAAATAGAAATTATTTAGTTTTATTTTATCCCAACAATGTACATACATATGACATATATGATATATTCACACGTTTTCCACCCCCATATGCTTCATGCTAGCTAAAAGGTTCTTCCACTGGTTTCCTCCCAAATCCATTATCCAATAAATGCAAAAAGTGGCTATAAAACTTACTCAAAACTTTCATCCATCCAGAAATAAGCTAATAAGCCCAAACAAAACACCCTTTTCAATTTCAAAAGCAAAACACACATAAGAATTCAAATCCTTCATTGTACTATAGAAGAAGCACACAAATTTGAAAATACCATTCACAAATCCAGATAGAAAGTGCCCAAAAAGTACTACTGCAACTACTTTCATCTGAACAAATCATTGAGACTTCTATCTATCCCATGAGAACATAAATAAGGAAATTGCTATACATTGAGCCAGCTAGCTAATTGTTTATGATAATAATTAATATAAAATGAGAAGATGCCTTTTTGCTTCATTTGGTATTCACTTTCATTCATGGATTCAAACGAACCCATTGGTACTTGCCTTCCATAGGAACGTCCTTCACTATATCATAGTTGTACCTGAAAATAACGCAAAACCAATCAATCAAATCATAATTATTACTCTGTTTCCATTTTAAGTAACGTGAAGAGTGGCTCATGAATGCTAAATTGAGCGTTTTGGGGGTGATGATACTTATCATGCGCACACACACCACAGAAACGTAATTATTTGTATTTTCAATTTTGTACTCACTTTTCAGCAAATCGTTTTTGCTGCAACTTTTCTGCTGCTTCAAAGAACTCTTCCAGCTCCGCCTCTGATGGCATTTTTTCCTCCGCCACTGAAATTATCCGGCGAGTATTTGCCGGTGGTGGTGGCGTTTTCTCTGATTGGGACGAATACTCGATTTCTGATTCTTCCGACTCCATTTCTGATTCTTCGGAGTCTCCGTAAAGCTCTTTTGTTGGCGTCGTTTTTCTACTAAAATAAAATAAGATAATAAAAAATAATAATAAAATCGAAGATACATGCGCGCGCGCACACATATATCAGGTTCAGAAAATGAAACGGTGAAATGTAAATTAAATTAATTTAAAAGAGTTAATGAATATAATTTAATTTCATTAATTTACCTGGAAACGTTGTTGATGGATATGGAAATTTCAGTTTCAAATTCCACGGACTGAAATAAAAATTAAATTCATAAGAAAATAACTAGCAAATAAAGCTTGAAAAAGAAAACACGGCGTAAAACTATTTCGTAAACACGCATATCATAGAGTAAGTTTGAATTATGAATTTTCACCTTCAGATCTGTTGAACTTAGGCTCTCTTTTATGAAGCCGTTTGACTCGTGATCCTTAGAGCAGTCGGAGGTTATAGAATCCTCCGGTGAAACCAAATTCTCAGTGAAGTTCACGTCATGGTTTTCAAAGCGAACGGAATCGGATTGAAGTTTTCTTCTCTTGCCGGAGCTTCCATTCGTAAACTCCGCTTGCGCTTCTGCTTTCATCACTCTCTCACTCTTGCGTTTCTTGAGGTCCTCTCCCATCTCTCTAGACACACATATAGCGCGCGCGCGCTCTCTCTCTCTCTCTCTCTCTCTAATATACATGTACGTATTTATAGCTGGCCTGGTGCTTTATATACATGTATTGATGTGTATAATGTGAGCTTGTAGAGTTTCATTCAAAAGCAGCTGGCAAGGTTGAAGCCTCCTCTTTGACTCAATTAGATCTAAGGTAGTGTTTAATTGGTGGTGGAATTCCATCGAAAATGGAATTGAAATTTAATGGTGTTTGATAGCATTTTAATGATCTAAAATTACATTTCCATGTTTTGTGCCACATCAGCCCAATTCCACCAAATGAAGGAATTGCAATTCTCACCAATATGGTGAGTATTGCAATTCTAGGTTACTGTAGCATTTTTAAAATTTTTTTTTTTGTTGATAACGAAGACAAATTCTAAGAATTATTGTAAAAAAATATTTTACTTTAATTAACAATTTTCATGTAAAATAAAGCCAAACGAACAAGAAAAGATTGATAATTTTCTTGAAATTTTTATTTTTTTGTTTTGGCAATGGAAACAAATTTCATCCCCAAAATCAGTAAATTATATCCCTTTAATTGACAATTTTCATGTAAACAAAGTCAAACGGACATAAAAAAACACTTTAATTTAAACATTTTCCACATACCGGTCAAACACAATAATTTACAATTCTTAGAAAAATAATTTTCCATCAATTCAATTCCCTGAATTCATTTTCTTTCCACCCAATTTCACCTTTGCAATCAAACGGACCCTAATGCTTTACAATTCAATATTATTTTAGATATTTTATTATTCATTTTCCTTCTATATGACCAAAAAATAAAAAATAAAAAAAAATGAAAAATGTACCTCTTCGAAGAAACTTTGTCAAACATTGGTAGATAGTACTAGACGAGACAAGATAAGACTTCGAACAAGATTTTAGTTTTTTTGACTCTGTCTAATATTGTATACTAAATATGCACTTTCTCATTGCGTATATATTTATGAAAGTAACGAAAATCATTAAGATATTGTGTTTGAATTTATGCTCGTGGAATTGAGAAAACTTCTAATTTGAGATGCCGATATTGAGTCAACATATTATAGAACATTTCCATTTGTCAAAGTTTCATTGATCACTGAAGCTAACTGTTAGATAGCAAAAATACATAACTCTCGTATTGTAGAGCCTTTCCGAATTAGAGGTTAGTGTTCATTGTTCTTACATGAGGAAACCATAAATAGTTGCCGAGTCTATCTCTTGTCGAATCAAGATCTTAAAGAGTAACTTTTCGACGCGCAAACTATAGTGACACTAAAGCAAAGCATAGAGTACCGAACCTAGAAAGATTTATTAGTAATTAACCTGAAAGTTGGAGCCGAATGCCATATTGGATAAGTGAATAAAGTCATTTATTTATTTATTTTTTTGGGGTTTTGATCCTTATTGGACACATCAATATATGAGTAATCAAGTTTATAGTCAATCGGCGGAATGCATCACATATACCTAAAGTTGTAAATACTTAAGCCTCATTTGGCACACATTAATATAAAAATAAGAATGAAAAATATAGTATTTACGGATCTCACACAAGAGATAGAAAGTTAAGTATAGTAGTTTGATGTAATGAATAACGGTCATATTTTTCATTTTAATAAGCAAATAAGAAGAAACAAACAGGGATTTAGTGTTTAATGTTAAATGTCAAATAGCAAAAACACATCACTCTTGTAATGGTTGTCAAATCAAATTAAAACAAGGAAAAAATGTCAAATAGCAAAAGCACATCACTCTTGTAATAGTTGTCAAATCGAATTAAAACAAGGAAAATTCGATCTGACACCTTAAGCTAACTTGAACTGGTCAAGTTGACCTTCAACTTATAAAAAAAAAAAAATGGAAGAGAGAGATTTTTTTTAATCGAGTTTTAATTTTACACAATATTATGGTCATTCTCATACAAATCCGCCATACTAAAATTAGTGCATGTGTTGTAAAATTTTAGAATTTAGATTTTTTTTTTATCTACATATTACGAGAAACTAGTACACAAATATGTCTACATATCACGTAAAATCCATGACTTATAATCATTTTAAAATACTTCCAAGCACTTAAAAGGGGGCTTAGGGGCAAAATAGGAAATATAAAGATGCATAGATTTGACGACGGAAATTTTATTACGGGAGATGATTCGGTCCTGACTCCTTAGCGGTGTCGGGATGTGGATGTTCTGAGGATTATTTGGATTGTTACCATTGGTGCAACATAAATCAATAGTCGTAATTTGTTCTGTTTTCATATTTTCAGAAAAAAATATTTTAATGTTTGGCAAAGTCCCCAAATTATTAAGGGATGAAATTCTCACATCGAGTAAAGATAGAAATATAGATAAATTTATAAGATTTTCGACTGTACCTCTTAACAAGATTGACATTTTAAGATGGTACCATAAGTCTTAATATGGTATCAGAGTACATTAAACTCCAACGAGCGATTCGATTCGATTAAGACTCAGCCGTTGTTTGAGCCCCATTTTTGGGAAGAAAATGAATTTTTGAATAGTGTATTGATGGGAAATATGTGGTTAAAAAATAAGAATTTTTTTTGATTTACGTGCAATATTATTTTATTAAAAATGTGTGATTGAAATGATGTCAAAATACTATTTAAAAATGTATTTTTTTGGAAAGAATGTGGCTCACAAGAGCTCAATAAATGAGTATACGAATTTTAATATTCACTTGCTCAAACGAGCTACCATCTAATGGGTGCATGTTAATAGATAAAATTTCACATCGGATAAAAATGAAAATATAGACCAATTTACAAGGTTTTGTGCTACTTTTCTTAACAATGTTGATATTTTAAGATGGAGTCCCAAGTTTTAACATGGTATCAGATCCCATTAAAATCTAACGAGCGATTCGATTCGATTAAGACTCAATAAATAAGCATACGAATTTCAAGATTGGTCTGCACAAATAAGCCACCATCTTATGAGTGTATATTAAGCGATAAAATTCCCACAACAATTAAATATGAAAATACAGACCAACTTATGAGGTTTTGAGCTACTCCTCCTAACATGATTGATTTTTTAAGATGGAACTCCAAGTTTTAATATGGTATTAGAGTCCATTAAACTCTAATGAATAATTCGATCCTATTAAAACTCAATAAATAAGTATATGGATTTCAAGATTGGTTTGCTCAAACGAGCCACCATTTTGTGGGGACATGTTAAGGGATAAATCTCACATCAAATAAAGATGAAAATATAGACTAACTTATAAAGCTTTAGATTACTCCTCTTAAAAATTTTGATTTGTTAAGATAGAACCCTAAATCTTAATACAACTTACCCACACCTTCACATAATTTTCTTTGATAAAGAATAATAAGTAATTTTTTTTAGCTTCGTAATCAACGACTCTTGACAGCCATACAATCAAACTATTAGGGTCTGTTTGATTATAAATGTGGAATTTGGGTGGAAAGAAAATGAATTTCAGGGAATTTTTTTTAGCTTTGTAACCAATGTATGCACGCTAAGCCACATTGTTGGGAATCTACTTATACATGCACAGCGGAAAATTAAATTATTTCGATTCCCACCCAATAGATCTCATTGTGTTTGGTT